GTGAGCCTTTTTCTCTCCGACACTAGGCACTGGAGCGGGTCAGCAGCAGATACCACAGGCGGGCGAATCAGCAAATATAACAGTAATGATTCAATCTCGAAGTATGTACTTGACATAATTATAAACCGTCAGGTGGGCGTCATTAGTCGTCGATTACCGTTTGTGCCAACTGAATCATGAGGAGGCCTGTGTGCAGCACATTCAGTTGTAGAATATCATAAACGAGAGATTCAGTTGAGTCTCTCGTGAAAACGAAATTGATTTGCCAATGAGTGTACTTCTTGAAGTTCTGATCTGGTTCAGTTGAGGTTTAGGTGGCACCAGCCAACTTGCGGACATCGTAGTATTGCAGAAAATAGAGGGATTGTCCCCTCTTTTTGTTATTGACTGTCTTGTAGCACCCTGTAACTACAATGGACAAAAGCCTCGCCTGATCTCTGGTGCTCACGAGAGTAAGTACATCGACGTTTACCTGATAGGTACACGATCTCTGGAGCTCACGAGAGTAAGTACATCGACGTTTACCTGAGAGGTACACTCTCTGTCGTTTGTTCTATCAACTCATATATATATATATATATATATACCTGCTTGAGTTAGGTAAATGTCATTACGAAAAACCCCAAAACTAACCATAAAGGTTGTCCGGCAAGTTCCAGACATCCGTGACCCTATCTGGACGGAATGCTGTGAGTGGCAGATCAGTTGTTCAACACTGTCGGAACACATATTGGCTAGAGGTTTTGAGGAATTCACAAATCAATCTTCGCCTTTTCGAACAGATTCAGCTGGAGCTGGTAGTACACAGACAATACGCTTTTCTAGCACCTCAGCTATTCAGAACCCAATGCTCGGCGAGGATATTCAACTTTGTTTACCGATCAGGCACCAAAATAACACCAGAGTTGGAGGAATACCTTTTGAATCAATATGATATTGACGTAAAGATTATCAACAGGTTAGGTGTCCTGTCAACATATCTGAAAGAGGTTTCATGCCTCTTGTACGAAAAAGTGGCTCTCCAGAGACAGGTCGATTATATCCAGCGGTTAATCGTCACTATGGTTACGAACATGACGTCGGAGCCTCGGTATCGGCTGGTAGACCAGCTATGCCCTCCCAATCGGGACGCTGGATGCCAGTGCGTTCAAGTATTCAGCAGCTGCCATAGAATATGCCAACATCGATTGACATTATGGTTGCACTTCCTTTCCCCCAGTCAAACTCTTCCCTTGTCTGCTGCTGTTTACTGCGTCCACCTGAAAGACTCGATATGCATTTGTAATCCCTCATGAACTTTTAACCCTTGACTTGTTAAACCAATTTGGTCGGCCATCCTTTACGCGCACTTTTCGACCATTTTGCGTTACCACGTTTTGTACCCAGACGTGTGTCGCAAACTAAGA